CGTCAGCAGGAATGCACCAGGCCCACATCAGGGGGGAAAAATTCGGGTGAGGCTGGCGGGAAGGGGCGGGGCAGTAAGGGTTCCACTCAAACGCCTGGCTTCAGCCCGGAATCACAAGGCAACACTGCCGCCGCCACCCCTAACACACCCACTAACCCTAACCCTGCTCCCTCTAACAAATCCACTGGGCATCAGCAGTTCAGCGGAAGCGCGGCTCCGGGGGGAGTCCCTGCTGGTCAAAGTAATTCAAACCCTGGGAAGGCTCCAGTTCAGGCCGATCAGAGCGTAGCTAATGCGCAAGCCCAGGTTCTGGAAGAAGCTCAGAAGCTCCTTAAGTCCTTGCGTATTGCTGCGGTTAGGGTACAGGATGAGAGTAGAGAAACTAGTCCGGAGAGAGTGAGTGCGGACAGACATGTTTTTGAGGGTACTGTGGGTCCTGAAGAAGAGAGACCTGAGGATGAACCACCTATATCCCAGGAGATATTTGTACCTGCCGTATTGGTCAGAAGATCCAGATTGCCTACGGGTCTTCTTGATGGAGGTGCCACGCATGCACTCAGGACGGCAGGTCCGGGGGAGTGGGAGTTGGCTACTCCCACTCGGGTAGCATTGGCAGTTGGATCGCAGGATCTACGGATTTCTGCTACAGGAACGGTTTTGTCCCAGAGTATGATCGCCCCCATTGCTCCTTTAGGCCTGCTGGTGGACCTTTTGGGATGCCGAGTGACTTGGGACTCCGGTTGCTGTACGGTGGTTCACCCCATCAAAGGTGACCTTGGGGTCTGGTTGGAGGATAACTGTGCTGTGGTGTCAGAGGAGCACTGTTTGGAGTTGATTGCTGAGATTGAGCAGTACAGGGCTAACAGATTGAATCAGGCTCTGCAGATTAGAGCTCTTGGACTTGGGGTTGAACTCGGGTCGAGTACCGAGGACGGCTCCATGTGGGGATCGGATCGAGACCTTGCGATATGGCTGAAGGATCGGTTCCCTGAGGCTCCAGATTGGCTGCTGCTCCGAAGTCTGCCCGTGAAGTGTAGCGTGGGTAGCAAAGGCCCCTATGACTTCCCTGGACTTAATCGTAGGGGAAGGAAGGCTCTGAGAAAGGCAAAACATGTTGTTTTGCACGTATTTTCGGGCAAAACTAAACCCCTGGAATTCTCTCTGGGAAGCGATGTGGTAGTGGTAAACTTGGATGTGCTTCTTGGCAGCAACATTCTTGATGAGCGGGTTTATGCGGCAGCAGCAGCATTATGTGGAACCGGGAAGGTGGACGCAGTGCTTGGTGGACCGCCGTGTAGCACTAACAGTCTTCTTAGGGAAAGAGGAGTTGCTTCACCTCTCGGTGGATCCGATGGGGGTCCTAGGCCTGTTCGGGGAAGAACTGGGATGCTGCGGTTTGGACTGCCTTCAAACACCCCGGAGGAGCAAAAGAAGGTAGAAGAGCAGACCATATTAGTCACGAGGTTTCTGACTTTGCATCACATTGCGGACTTCTTCAACCCTAGTAAGGCCCTGTGTGCTTTGGAGAACCCCCAGGACCCCATGACATATCTACCTGCATCCCGCAAACATGACGAGCTTCCTAGCCTGTGGGCTTGGCCGGAGATAGAGGCTTTGTTGGAGGGATCTGCTCCTAACAAAGACAGGGACATAACTGTCAGTTCACCTGATAGCTCGCCCCATGCCGAGTCAACGCCTTCATGGTTCTTAGCTCAGTTCGACCAGGGAGCCATTGGCCACGCGGTTCGCAAGCCTACTGCAGTGCTCACTAATAGCTGGGAGTTGTTCCAGGAGCTCCATGAACGTAGAGGGGCGGGATTTGCCAGTGCTATCGGGCAACAGCTTGATAAGCTGGAAGATCGGATCCGGAAATCCAGTAGCTGGGCTAAATGGGCGCCTGGGTTGTGTCGAGCAGTGGGCTGTTCGGAAATGGATACGTACCTCAGAAGAAGAGAGAAGAGAGAGTGAGAGTGAGAGTGAGGGGCGTGTTGCTTTGAAGGCCCTCACAAGGAAAGAGCAGGAGTTTCGCAAACATTGTGAAGATGGGCATATAATCTTCCGGAGGGACTGCCGAGCCTGCTTGGAAGGCCAGATGAAGTCCCATGTGCATAGGCGTCAAAAGCATCAGGGGTCTAACACATTCTGTCTCAGTATGGATTTGGTTGGACCTTGGAAGCCTGGAAGAGACCACGCCCAAGGGCAGCCTGTGACGCGCTTTCTTATAGCCTCCTTGAGTGTTCCCATCCCCGACGGTCAGCAGGAAGCGGATAGCCTTGCAGATGAGAGAGAGGGTGAGAGTCAGGGTCTTGAAGCTGGAGAGAGTGACGGCCTTGAAGATTATGAGCACGGCGAGGAGGAAGATCCTGGTCCGGATAGTGATCCTAGTAAAGAAGAGATGGAGTTGCGTCGTCAAAGAGCAGAAGAATCATGGCGCAAGGAAGCTGAGAGATTGCAAGATCCTGTCCCAGTGCATGACCTCATCTTTTGTGAACCTCTTACGTCTAAAAAGGGTTCCGAAGTGCTACGTGCGATCCAGAGAGTGTGGGTTCGGATTTTGGGTCTTGGATTAACGGTCAGAAGGCTCCATACTGATGGAGGCCGAGAATTCTGCAACCGGGGTTTGGAGGCTTGGGCGTTGGCCAGGGGCCTTCGGCATACTTTTAGCGTACCGTCGGACTCAAAGAGCAACGGTCGTATTGAAAATTGGGTCAAACATGCCAAGGCGGGCGTGAGAACGTTACTCTGCACAATGGATAAGAAAGATACGGCGCAGTGGCCCAGCGCACTGAGGCAATGGGCTGAGCAAAGACTTAGGAAGTCATTGAAGTTGCTTCATGTTCCTGACCCCATTCGGCCCCTTCCCCCGTTTGGCACGACAGTTGTGGTAAAAAATAGACAGTGGAGCAGAAAAACACCACACGATGCCAAGGCCATGACGGGAAAGGTTATGTGTCCAGCAGCAAACATCCCTAACACCTCGGTTTCTCTTGCTTGATAATGGGCAATTTTATGTTGCTCCAGTTGTCTATCAGGGTGTACTTGAACCCCCGAGCTTCGAAGGGGAAGTGGCTTCAGACGTTCCTCCGGCACCCCCTCACAGGGTCACAAAGAAAACTAATATGACTACCAAAGGTAGGGGGGGAGTCAGGGTTTCTTGATGCCTGTGATGAAGCAGAATTGTTTGGGTATGAGGTTGCTGTTGGGGACGCTGCTTCAGGGGGAGATGGGGATGCTGTTGAGGGTGATGAGTTTGAAGGGATGGTTCCGGATTCGGTGTTGTTCGGGGATGTGAGTCTCAAGGGATCGAGGGTCTGTAACCTTTGGTGTGAAGAATTGACATGTAAAATGTGCGATACACCCAGAACCCCGGAAGACAGGGACACATGTCGTACCTGTGGCACGTGGCAAGGTAGAACCCTAAGCCTTGAAGAGAGTGAACAGGAAGCAAGGAAATTGCTTGAGGGAGAGGATAAGATTAGTAGAAGCGATATCAATGCACTCTTGAGGACATCACTGCGAGGATGGTCAGCTAAGGCGAGACCGTGCGACAGGGAAGCCGGGGATAAAGGGTCGTCCGGTTGGACTCTAGGTCAGTACGTCTATGGTTCTATGGTAGGTATAACCAAGGAAACATATCGGAGACCATGCCTGACGAGGCTCCTCAATCGGTACCTGCATCAAACTGTTGACCGAGATGTACGTTGGACAGCCCTCCGTGTGACCTGTGACTACAGCGCAGGTCCACATGTCGATTGCAATCAGCCGGGTTCCATGAATGTGGTTGTTCCCATAAGCTGGTTTGATAAGGGGAAGATTTGGGTTGAAGGAACGCCCCCAGACCCTGGTTCAATAGTGTATAGGGAGTTTCACGGGAAGCAGTTGGTTGGGTCTCTGGTAGGAGGATCGGATCAAGTGGCGTGCTTTGATCCTCGAAGACCTCACGCTGTGGAGAGCGCTGTAGGTAGACGTAGGGTAGTGGTTGGGTACACTCCTAGATTATGGGAACGGGTTCCTGAGGACCTCAAAACTGCACTTAATGATTTGGAATTCCGCCTACCTCGGACACCCTCTCAGGAGCAGGAGCCGGAGCAAGCGGAGGAGAAACGATCGTTGGTCTGGGAGGTGGATCACTCAGGAGACCCACAGGAGTGCACAGGAGAGGAGGATCGGAAGGCAGGTTTGTCGCCAGGCGGGGACGGGAGCAATTTCGGCTGGGAAACGGAGGAGGAACCTCGGAATAGGGCGGGTGTGTTTCTGGAAGCACTGCATGACCAGTACATGTTTCTGCGGAGAGTTGAAATGGACACTCGCAAGCATTTCGATGAGGAGCTAGAGTTGGCCTCTGAGCAGGGTTGGATAGCTGACACCGATCACCTTGTTGAAATGAAGGATTGGATCCAGGACCTTGAGAATTGGGTTATCATCAGGGATGCCACGGAGCGCCTGAGCTCTGGTGTAAGCGACCCAGAAATTCGGGTGTTAAGGGCTAGGCTTAGAAAACTTGGAATGCCCCCTCAAGATGCTGATCATATCGTTGAAGATGCTTCGAGCTGGGTCCCCTTATCTAGAGTCCCCGTTGAAGAATCACAAGAGGATGTCTTAGAGGATTCCACGTCCCAAGAATCTTGGTTGCCTCCTGGTTCGAAATCCATACATGCTGTTCCTGCAGCACCACTCCAAACAATCTCCGTGTCCCACAAGGAGGTCCTAGAGAATATAACTACATGGACACCTTCTATCAAGGAGGAGCTTGAGTCTGTGTTTGAGCGCCACGGGGCACTGCGGCGGACCTCTAGAGATCAGGTCGATCAGTGGATTAGCGAGGGCAAGGTAGTGGAATATTTGCCGTCGAAGGCGTTGTTTCATCGTAAGGGTGGAACAGGGCGTCAGAATGTGGGAATTTTGACAAGTCCGGTAGCGGCGGTGGCGACTATGGCTCTACGTACGCGGGGGGAATTGACTCCACAACCCTTCGTATCCAACTTGCACATTGTGGGCACATGAAATCTGAAGACCGGAGTTGGACCACTGGCGCATTGGATATTCGTACGGCATTTTTGTTGGCGCCGCTGGAGCAGACTAAACGCGTACTGGTGCTGAGGCCTCCCAAGGTCTTAATCAGTGGCAACATAGTGCACCCACAGGAGCTATGGTACGCTACTGGTGCGATATGTGGGCTGAGAGAGGCTCCTGCTGCTTGGTCTTCTTACAAAGATTCCCAATTACCAAACATCCAGATTCAACATGGAGAAGAGTTCTTCAGGCTGGTGAGATCGAAAGCAGACCAAAATCTTTGGCATCTCAAGCCGGCTAGCGATCTGGAAGCAGCGCCAGTGGCCCTTCTCGGGGTTTACGTGGATGATATGATAGGTACAGGGCCGCGGGCAATCTTGGATAGTCTCTTCCTCGCAGTCCAGAAGACTTGGGAGACTAGTCGACCCCAATTCGCCTCCGACAAAGAGGGAATCCTTTTTTGTGGCCTTGAAATCCATGACACTGGAGATCGGTTGCATATCCACCAACGTAAGTATCTACTAGACCTCCTGAATCGGTACCCAGATGTCCGAGGCGGGGCATCACAACCTGGCTTGAAGGAGCCTGACGACCTCTTGCCCAAAAACAACGAGCAACCGGATCTGAGTCGACTTCGACTTGCCCAGAAGCTGGCAGGTGAGTTGCTGTGGATAACTACAAAAACACGTCCGGATCTGATCTACGTGACTAGTCGGATTGGACAGTATATCACCAGAAACGTGGAGTTCGCTATTCAACTGGCACACAATGCTCTCAGATACTTGCGATCCACAGCTCACTATGAGATCATCTATGGGGGCAACCATAGCTCGGATCAAGGACCAGACGTGGGTCCCCTGCAAGAGAGGGTCGGAGCCGTAGAAGCGTACGCGGATGCTTCATTCGCTCCAGGCAATGACAGATCGCAAACAGGAATCATCTTGGCCTGGAATCAAGCGCCGATCACTTGGCTATCGATGCGTCAACCGTGCGCGTCGTTGTCCACTGCAGAAGCGGAGCTTCAGTCATCCATAGATGCCCTGGCGCTGACAGAAGGATTCCTGCCCTTGATCCAAGAATTGGAACCTCGACCTGTGAAAACTTTCCTGTACAACGATAACCAAGGAGCTGTGACAGTCATGAAAATTCCGCAAGGGAGTTGGCGAACACGCCATCTTAGGCTGAAGGCAGCGTGGTTTTTTGAACAACTTGAAACGAGCCGCTATGCTGTTTATCACCTGCCTGGGAAGTACATGTTGGGTGATTTGTGTACGAAAACATTACAGTCCTTGAGAATTCGAGAGTTGTTGCAAATGATGAGAATCAACATTGTCGACCCGGTCGAGGGGGAGTCCAAAGCAGCAGTTGTGAAAAAGTTGGAGTCAGACCCCAATGACCATCAGCCCGGTGGAGTCAGATCCGGGGGAGAAGGGCTTAAACTTAGTGAGAAGCCTTGGGGAGGGGCTGTTGAACTTGTTGAGTTGGACGCGGCGTCGGAGAGTGCCACAAAGGGTGAGGGCAGAGTGAGTAGTCCCGGGATCCCGAATATGGGAGTTGTCAAGCGTGCGTTGAAGTTGTTGTTGGGTGCGTTGTGCTTGAAGAGATCGACTGGGAAGGTTGTTGTGACAATCGAAGAGGACAAGCATGAGTTGGATGTGACCACGTGGACCGTCGCAGTGCTTGCATTGGTTGGAGTTGTTCTCTTGTGTTGCGGCTTGGCAGTTGGTGTTGCGCGTTGGGCGTGGACTGCTGAAGGCCCGAGGATCCAAAGCGTGAGGGTCGAGGAAGATGAGGAATCAGAGAATTGGTCCGTTCTGTCGAGTGCAGAGCTGAGAGAAGGGATAGATGAAGATGGGTCCCCAGAAGGTTCCCCTAGAATAGACACCCTTGCCCAAAGTACCTCAACGTACACCACAGCTCAGGATGTGAATGATGACGGGTTACGTAGGAGAACTCTAAGGGCCCGTAGGATTGCCGTACCCGGCCCTTTAGACCCTAGGTACCTTGACCCAGCCATTGAGACCACTCAGATCCAAGGCTCCCCAGGCACAAGGGTTAAGTAGTGATCCCCCAAGGTCCCCTACTTCGGCTGACCCAGCCCATGAAAACCCTAGTTACCTCGAACCCCAAGATGATGAACTAAGTGACGTAGCTGCCGAGTTCCTCAGGGCACTGGGAAGTGAGGAAAGTGAGCGAGGCCACAGCCGGAGTTTTCCCCAAGGGAGTGTGAGCACTGGAGCATCTCGACTGGCCTCGGTAGTGGCACCGATCGTTAATGAGACGGGTTCTGTGGGTGTCATGGCTACCTACATAGAAGATGGAGCGTTCGTAGGTCTTCCGGAAGCGGCTCCGGAAATGGCGACTGGAGCTGATGATGGAATGGACCGTCATACGTCTGGGGAGGATGGGGTCTCTCGAGGCCCCCTAGTCACCGATCCGGTGGATACGGCGACATCTCCTGAAGTTCGAGCAGATGTGGGCGAAACATCGCACCGTGATCGTCCGCCACTGTTTCTTTCTGTTTATCCAGGTTGGATGCTGTGGACCCCACCCAGGGAAACGTGGCCTCCCCTCCCCGATTGGGGGGGAGCTGAAGCGCTGTGGCACCAGGTCATTCCAAGAGGGGTGACCAGAGACTTCTATTATTGGAGCCTTGATAGGCAAGTACTTATTCGGATTCATGCCGCGCCCAGAAGGAGAATGTATCTGTTTTCAGAGTCCACTCTTCCACCCGGCTTGGATCGGAGCAGGCTGACAGGGAGGAGGAGAAGTTTTGTTCGATTTGCCAACCCCAGAGAGTTGACCATCATAGACGATTCGATCTCAGATGCTCGTCCTCAACGTCAACTTGCAAGACAGTGGACTGGGCGAACGGAGTTTGAACTTTAGCGGAACCTGTGGATCCAAATCCGAACTAGCTCAGTTTTGACTTGCCATGTCGCATATGCTAGATGTGACTGCCGGAGTTTTGGAAGATCAGCTGGGTGACGAAGATTACCCTCTGTGATCAATCGAAGGCCTTGAGTCTCAATTGTTTGCCATCTTTTGCGGACTGTAAAGGTCCTTACTCAATCTGAATGATTCGAGGGGCTTGAAATAGCCCATTATCGTCTCCAGGGCTGCTATCGGAGATGTATCTCCGAGGGGGAGTGCGAATGTGAGCGTCCCATGCCCTGTTGAGACCACGAGGGGATTACACATTGTGAGGCCTTTTTTGATCGAGAAAAGAAGGGCACTCCGCCTACAGTTCGTACCCTAAACCCTAAACCCTACACCCTGAACCCCTCCCTTAGCCTCCCTGCCCCGCATCAAGTAGATCAACAGGAAACATGAGGATTCCTGCCCTGTTGAGCCTCCTTTCCAATCATGACCATCAGTACAGCCTAAGCTCGCTAGAAAGAAGCCGGCAATATACTATAATATAGTGTAACATACTATATTATACTATAATATACTATATTAAAGTATGATATACTATAATATCATATAGTCTACAATATTATAGTAAAATATACTAACATAGTATAGGACACTATATTATAATAGAATATCGTATTATTATTCCCAAGGTTCAGGAGTCGAGGATTGCAAGGGTACCAATGGACGCGCATGTTTGCGGCTTCCGTGTAACTTAAGCGAGGATCTAGTGCCTCCAAGGTTCCGCAGGGCACGACCTTCCGGCGGAAAATCGAAGGAACGGTCCCAGCCAGCCTTCACCAAATAGGAGGCCTCAGCCGAGTAGTGATTTTTTTGTGGTTGAACCCAATTTAGGGTTTAGGGTTAAGGGTTTAAGGTTTAGGGTTTAGGGTTTTGGGGTTTAGGGTTTAACCTAATAAGATATAGGGATAATATAGGGATAATGGAAAAGAAAATGGAAGCTACTATGTTATAATAGGGTATATATTGGGGTTATATTGAGGTTGTATTAAGTAGTGTTTTTTTGGTGGT